CAAAGACTGCTGTTTGCTCCCCATGTTCCTGGGCTCCTAAAGTGTAAATCTGTGGCTTTTTACGCAGCTGCAGCTCCCTGTCTGTACACCTGCACCTAAGCTTCTGGCAGGATAGCTCTCATCATGGGACTGATTTACCTCTGACTAGATTAGCAGCACAAGGCCAAGGACAAAGGCAGGGCTCTCAGAGCAAAAAGAAGGCTTGTGCGGAGACATGTCCTGGCCTCTGGGTTTCACTTTGAGCAGGGGACTCCCTGCACAGAGTCTTGTCCCAACTCGAAATGTTAAATGCTCTGTATAAAATATTATCACAGAGATACTCTTATTTCCCTTTCTCTACTGAGTTGCTGCCCATGCTTCAGCAGCCAATACACCCAGTGCTATCTAGGCAATCTGCTCTTGTGCAAATACATAAACAAAGTCTCAGTGAAATCAAGCAGATTTGAAGACTCTTCCTTCCACACAACAGTGACCGAAGCTACAATGTGTCTAAAATGATGGACTCTCAAATCACCATCTAAGGGCCCAAAGGCCTCCTGGCCGATTTCTGGAATGTACAAGCCAGGAGTGGGAAGCTTTCCACAGCTATAAATCCTTGGCTTCTTCCTCTCTGTCAAGAAGAGACTAAAATACACCAGCCAACCATGGCCCAGTGAAATTGAAGAAATTTTTAACAGCAGACTTACCTAACCAGCAAACAATAGGAAGTTGGCCTGACTTCAAGCCAAATTCAGCAAGGTCTGAGCTATAAAGATTGCTTGTAATTTATTTTTTTTTTTTACACTAAACATTAATTGCTTTAAAACAAGAGTCTGCCGAGTCCCCAAGGAACTGCTAGAACAGAAATTCCTCGTTCCCAGCTGAATACCCTGAGCCCAGAGAAACAATATGCTCTCTCCTCTGGCACAGCTACTTACTCCCTTGTGCGCTGTGGTCCTCCTAGACAACAATCTTTATCCAGCCCAGCCTACCACTTAAGACTAAGACATTCTCCGGGGAGGTGGAAGTTCCCCAAACATGGATTTGAATTGTTCAAATTTCCTTTACCTCCCAAATGCTTCCTCTGAGACCTTCCATGAGCCCTACATAATTTTAACAAGTGGGAAGCAGATATGCTGGAAGGTTTGAGTCTAGATTCAAACAGCTCTCTCCAAAGCTCTTATCTCAAGGGACTGAGCTGCTGGCTTTTCTCTCCAAAGCTCCTATCTTAAGGGACTGAAGTGCTGACTTTTCATCTGGTACCTCCCTCCCAAGGCTGCAAATACGATACAAATCTGAGAGAGCTCAGTCAGCTCCCAGCTCCAAAGGTGCTGGAGTCAGCAGAGAGGAACACACAGATCAGACATGTCTGTTTTAAGGCAGCTCACAGGCTCAGCACAGGTAGTTAAACTGATCTCCCTTTGCATGGGGTACAGCTGCTCCTCAGTAGTCTGGGTTACAGGCTGATAGCTTCTAGACTCTCTGGTTGTATCCCCAGGCTTCTCTGCAAAGGGCTTATTCACGCAAGCTGATTAACAGCACTGTGCTGTTCTCCATCAGCTCCTGTCTCTCTTACGTGACATAGGCCCTTTGACTCCCAAATACTTCCTGCTTTAAAGGCTCAGAGATTATGATGAAATAAAAAGCAACTTTAACCACAACCGATAATTCTGCAGTAACGCTCTGCCAGAATTTTCGTTCTTAAAAGTTCTCCGTATGCTGACAAGTCCCAGTTTGCTGTGTGTCTCTGGATAACTGATTTTTACCTACCTGCACATCATCTACTGCCTTAGTGGTAACTCTGACTGTAACTCCTTATGAATCTCTGAAAAAAAGCTACATCTCTTAAAACCTTGTTGGAACAGTAGAGAGTACCTTCTGATTTCCCACCTCTCAGGCATTTCCAGCATACAGACCTACACACTACAGTTTCACCAAAAAGCACAACACATTAACACTGCCTGTCCTTCTGACCTAAAACTACAGTGCTCTGGCAACTCCCTCTCGCTCCCTGGCATCCTCCTCTCAAATCCCTCCAACAGGGTTCAGCAAAACCAGGAAAAATCCACTGTGCAAGACACCCTCCCAATTCATCAAGAGGCCATTTGTACTCAGGATTTCTTATGTTGCACATCTTAGATGAAGCTACTTACATTATGAATGGTCAGTCTACTGACATTCTTTCACTGAGCAGTCTTTATGGAATATAAAATGTATTTACAGCCTGCTGTTGCTGAGGGGTTTGTGAATACAGGAGCTCAGAGAAGTAACCGAAGTTAAATCTTCAAAGCCCACTTCACAAGTAAGAGGCTTTCAGAGCTCAGAGAACAAGGTCACTGAACAAACTATTTACAGTGAGTAACAAATAGACAGTGAACAAATGCCTTATTTGACCTGTGTTACTCTTCCACTCAACAAAACCTAGTCTGGCAGGAAAGTCAGCAGAGCCACAGGCAGAGGTACACATAGCATCATGGTTAGAATAAGACACAGAGCAATGTCTCTTGGATCAGTATCTCCCACCACTAAGCCCAAGGCAGAAGGCAAATCTCCTAGCCCATACTGCCAGGACAGATAAATAAAAGCAGCGCTTCTATGTCACAGGGATGTTGTCAAATTTGTTGCTATGTAAACCACCAACTTACCAGATTAAGGTTGTCAAAAACAAGTATCCCGTCAGAACACATTCTGTGAGCCACTACATTAATCTATGACCAAGAGCAACAGCAAAACTCACTTGACTCAGTAGAGAAAAGATTTCCTTTCAGTACAAACCCAGTTATTCTTTTCCCAGTTTGTATCTGACTGCTTATGGCCCTTGCATTTGATTACTTATATGCCATCAACCTCAAAACAGATTTTTTTTTAAATAAATGGACTCACTGCTTTTCAAACACATGATTAGTGTTTCTGAGCAGAGCCAAGTATGATAACAACATAAGACAAAAGACACTGTGCAACCTTATGCTTCATTGTCCCTGCAATACTAGCTTTAACCTTAATTTTCTGTAGCTGTAATCAATGTTAAAGGTGCCTCACAGGCCACGCATTGTTTGAGAATGACAGACACAGGAGCAGCAGACTAGGCAGTACTGCTGTGTTCCCACTAAATTTAATCCATTTGCCAGCTATCTGCAGACAGACAGTATCTTTGTGAAGTCTGGTCAGATTGCAACTCTCTCCTTTGTCTGAGGCTGAAAATGCACACAGTGAAGCATTGATTCCCTGCTAGCTTACCTGACAGTATATATTAAAACAAGATCTTCACTACCAAAAGCACATACAAACAAGTCACCATGGAGGGTACTAAATTTCAAATTAGTACCTCCCTAGTTCCTCTGTCATATCTGTCCACATATGCATGTGCTTTGATCTCAGAGTAAATGAGATTTACTCTGTTTTCATCGAGGAATAAGCTACCTTGGACTACTTCACATTTATCATGGAATAGGATATGCACACATGGAGTTACCCCTGGGTACTGAATATGCTGTAGGCTCACAGCTGAGCTTGTCCCCATGATAATTTCTTCACTTGCCTGCAGCTTGATGCATAAACATGAGCTAGCTTCAGGTTAAGAAAATAAAATAATAATAAAAATACCATAAATACCACTGGACCATGCACTGAATTAGGTGAGGTCAGCACTGTGCTCTAGCTGACTCCAAAAGTTTGCCTTCTGGCATCCTTCTTACTTTTTAATGTGTCTTTTTCACTTTTTTAAAAATCTGGAGATAGCTCATACATATCCACTTGCTCATACACACACACACTTATTCTGAGCTGTGACAAGATTTTAAAATGCACTGGCTACTGTGACTAAAAAAGAAATAACATACTCTCACTCCCTTCTATTTGACATATACCATTAAGACTCACAATTCTTTTGTGAAAATTTACATAGAAAATGCCCATATATAACATGTTATTTATAACCCTTTTTTAAGCCCTTCCCACTGAATCTGATTTATCATGCTACACTCCCTAATATTAAATGCCGTCATTAGGCAGGGTCTCACACTGCTTCAGCCTCAGCACACTGACTTACCACGGAAACTGCAAAATTAAATCCAACTCAAACACTGATTTCAGCACTGATGAAAGAAGCTGCCTCAACTGCGTTGGCCCCTATCCACAGCACGTGCACTGGCAGTGCAGATTTCCTGCTTGGTGCTCGGCCAGTGTGCCTCAGCCTACACTAGCAGGAACCATCTGTAGGGATGAAAGAAGACTTCAACTTCAAAATTTACTTCCAACCTTGAGAGTAGCCGGACTGCTCCCTCCTCCAGGAACCAGTAACACAGCATACATAAGTTTGCTGAACAGGCAAGTCTCTGTTAGGGGCAATCTCTATGTCCATGTGCTCTGGGGTTTCTCATTTTCACTGCACATGGTCTTGAACATTATTGTCATAGACAAGATTTAATGGTGGATAATAAGGCAACTCTTATGAGAACACTTCTAAGATACTAGCATCCTGGTTGGTCTCATACTGCTACACAGGTCTTAGTAACAATAACGGCTATATTAGCTCTTAGCACTTGCCACCCACGTGTCTTAAGAAAAATTATAAAAGGAGACAAGAGCTATCACCCCATTTTAAAGACAGGGAAACTGAGGTATTGAAAGGGAGGTAATGATAAAATACGAATGCCAGCAGCAAAGCGAGGCATATAACAAGGTCTCCTGCGTCCCAGCTGGGTGCTCCAGGGAACACAGTTGGAAAGCTCCATATCCCATTACCCATATACAGAGTCGCTGAGTTGCCCCAGCAAGGATCTTATTTTTCATTATGGAGTGAAAAATAAAACAAGCCACAGGGCTCTAGCTCCTCCTGCAAGCCAGAGAGCCAGAAATTTCTATGGCAAACGACGCAGTGAAAATGCAGCCTGACACAGAGCAAAGTGGCAGCAGCAAGCCTGCCCATCTAGGTGCTGGAGTGGTTGTATCACTCATTATTCAGGGCGAGCGGGTGAGTTGGAAGTGTTACTTCAACTGTAAGAAAACAGGCTGGCTGCTGATTAATCCAAAACGCCGTTGTTGAGATGAGAGACCTCATGGTCACTGGCCTCCGAAAACAAAATGTAAAGGTTCAAAAGCAGGCCATTAAAAATAACTACTTTCTACTTCTCACCAGTGGCCAGTCAGGCCTTGGAGACAGGCTCAGTCTGCTAAAGTCTGCTATTTTGTGTGGTCATTCTGAGCAATGTTATAGAGGTCTGAAACTCAACCTGTTAATGCTAAGAATCAAAGCAAATAGAGCAACTGAATTTCAGACCTTTTTTTTTTTTGGCCAGCATGCAAGACCAAGGCTTCAGCAGTTTCCTTTAGAGGGAAATACTGTGCTGAACTCGGACACGCCTACCTTTCTTATCGGTACACTACCTGTCAGTTCTAAAGTTCAAAAAGCTCCTCAGCAAGCCAAAAGAAATAAAACAACAGGGCCTACTACTCTCCAGACAGTAAACAGCACCCAAGAAGATGAGTAACAGTATTCAGATGTTTCATTTTTGTTTTTTTAAGCAAGAGGACAAGACACCAAGAAGCTATGAGAGAACCAGAACAGAATCAGAGCTGTTGGCCCCAGGATCACAGCCGGTTTATTTCAATCAGTTTCAGATGCAGAGCCCAGCATTTCAGATGCACATGTAGCCCCAGAGCACCCGGGTAACTGCTCTGGCCATGCCTGCTGCCAAACCAGAATTGAGCCAGGGCCAGGCTCTGGGTCCGCCTCCCGCTCCCACATCCCCAGTAACCCCCAGATAATGCCCCTGCACCCCCCACCCGCAGAACACTGCCCGGGTGCCTCACTCAGCCACCCCCAAGTCACAGCCAGTGTGGAAAGGAGCACAAGGGGCTGCTCCCCCACATGCCCAGGACCAAACCAGCCTCTCCAGATTGCAGCAGGGCACCTTATCCTGACCAAGGGCTAGTACAGAGGGCCCTCCCCGCGGGGCACAAGCCCTGCTGCCCAGCACCTGCGGCCTCACCCTGCCCGCCCCGGCACAGATGGGATACGCACACCCACCTGGTCCTTCAGAGGCCGAGGGGACAGCTGCGCCCCTGCTCGTTCCGCTGGGCTCTTCCGGCGGGAGAGAGAGCCTCCGCCTCCGCTACAGCCTCACCGT